TAATAAAATTATTGGCTGTACGCAGCCAAGAAGGGTAGCTGCCATGTCTGTTGCTGCGAGAGTTGCTCACGAAATGGCTGTTAAATTGGGAAATGAAGTGGGTTACGCGATTCGTTTCGAGGATTGCACCTCTCATCGTACTCGTATCAAATATATGACCGATGGTACCCTGCACCGTGAATTTCTCAGCGAACCAGATTTGGCTTCTTACAGGTATAAATGGCATCATACAATGAAAATGTATAAATATATACGATATACAATACATATCATATTTTATGGAATGTAATAGTTAATTATATTTATATATTTCATTGTTCCCCATAATCGAAAATAATACAATTCGTATGAATAGAAACTTAATCGAAATCAGCTCCATGGTGAATGTATTAAATTTAGATTTGCCAACACTGTTCAAACTGATTCTTAGTTACTAACAAACGTCTTCGTACTTGCTTTAACGAAACAACGTTATTTTCAGTGTTATGATCATCGACGAAGCACACGAACGTACCTTGCACACGGATATCTTGTTTGGTTTAGTAAAGGATATAACAAGGTTTCGAACAGATCTAAAACTCCTAATTTCGTCCGCTACATTAGACGCTACGAAATTTAGTGAATTCTTCGACGATGCACCGATATTTCGGATACCTGGTCGCCGGTTTCCCGTTGATATTTATTATACCAAAGCACCAGAAGCGGATTACATCGACGCCTGCGTAGTCTCCATTCTTCAAATACACGCCACTCAGCCACCTGGCGATGTACTGGTGTTCCTAACAGGTTTTTCAATCAGATACTTCTACAAGCAAGTACAATAACTTTTGCTGGAATTTCAAAAGAATTGTTTTGCCTAAATTTAATTAACTCAATCCTATTACTATTAGTATTAGTATATTACTTTAATCTCACTCCTAATGACAAGAACAATAATTAGATTTAGCAAGAAATATTGTGTCTTTTCTTTGTGCTCGCTGGATCTATTTCTTCTCCTTGTGAAAAGGTTCGAGAGTATTTCTAGAATAAAATCGCTACCTGTTTCACGATAATGACAAACTAGACCTCCGACTTATTGAAATTTAAAGTACTTAAAAAATTTAAGCACTATTATATTTTTTGGTTTGGTCATTTGTTGTTACTTTTTAATAAATTTCTACTAGGTCAAGACGAGATAGAAACATGTCAGGAAATGTTGCAAGAAAGAGTAAGACGACTAGGTTCGAAATTAGGAGAACTGTTAATCCTACCCGTATATGCTAATCTTCCAAGCGATATGCAAGCAAAAATATTTCAACCCACTCCGCTTGGTGCGAGAAAAGTATGAAAAATAAATTGTATATTTCTCCTTCGTTAAACGTATCACTTTTGCTATTTATCTTTTAATGTTTCCAATTGTTAATTGTACAGGTAGTTCTTGCTACGAACATAGCAGAGACATCATTAACGATAGACAACATAGTGTACGTGATAGACCCTGGATTCGCGAAACAGAACAATTTTAATTCCCGAACAGGCATGGAAAGTTTAATGGTCGTGCCGATTAGCAAAGCTTCTGCGAATCAAAGAGCAGGCAGAGCTGGAAGAGTAGCTCCAGGAAAGTGCTTTCGACTGTACACAGCTTGGGCTTACCAACACGAACTCGAAGACAATACCGTGCCTGAAATTCAGAGGATCAATCTAGGTATGAATAACTTTGTCACTAGACTAAAAATTTTTGCATTTTCATTTATGCAAAATTTAAAGATGTAAAAATGCGTAGAATGCATATAATATAGAAAATACAGTACTTTTTATAATTCTTAATAGATGAAAGGAATTTCTGTTTAAATTCCACTTCTTTAGTTATATGCATACAAATATAAATTTCCATAAAAATTCACAGTCTAGTTATCATGAAATGTCATTTTGCCTACTTGTCTCGTGAATTCTCTATGTTTAATTAAATTATCAAACGACAGGAAATGCCGTGCTGACCCTGAAAGCTCTGGGAATAAACGATTTAGTCCATTTCGACTTCCTGGATCCTCCGCCGCATGAAACGTTGGTCTTAGCTTTAGAACAGCTATACGCGTTGGGAGCTTTGAATCATCGCGGAGAATTAACGAAACTGGGTCGAAGAATGGCTGAATTTCCGCTAGATCCTATGATGGCGAAGATGTTGCTGGCTAGCGAACAATATCGCTGCTCGGAGGAAGTAGCCACGATAGCTGCCATGTTATCTGTGAACGGAGCCATATTCTACAGGCCTAAGGACAAGATCATTCACGCAGACACGGCTCGAAAGAATTTCCATGTGCCTGGTGGCGATCATTTAACTTTATTGAACGTGTACAATCAGTGGCAGCAAAGTGATTTTAGTACTCATTGGTGTTATGAGAATTTCATTCAACATCGATCAATGAAAAGAGCTAGAGATGTTAGGGAGCAATTAGTCGGATTGATGCAGCGAGTCGAGATGGAACTTGTGTCGGGTATCACGGAAACGCTGAATATCAGGAAGGTGAGTGGGTTCAGATTAACGTACTTTGCCAGTCTTGTTTCTTTTCGTTGTACAATAGAGAGCTCCATTTGTTTGAACTCCATTTATTCAAACAAAATCTTAGTGAGGACTCGATTAAATAATCTATTTGCATTTTGGTCTGTTTCTTTTTTGTAGCTCTTCTTTATGTAGCTGAAACAAATTTTAAATATTGCCTGACTAATATTAGATCTACCAAACCAATCAGAATGATCGGTATCAGATCTTTTGTTTTTACAATTATTAAGTAGTGATATTAAATACAAAGTATTTTTGGTAATATTATTATCATTTCAGGCTATCACAGCAGGATATTTCTATCACGTGGCAAGATTGTCAAAAGGAGGTCACTATAAAACTGCAAAACATAATCAGACGGTTTCCATTCACCCTAATAGCTCGTTATTTCAAGAGCTGCCACGTTGGTTACTTTATCATGAGTTGGTTTTCACTACAAAGGAATTTATGAGACAAGTAAGTAATTAAAACTTAAATACGGAAACTTAAAAATTGCTTTGTCTATAATCATTTGTGAAATGAATATTGTTTGAAGCAGTTGAAAAAGAGAGATATAATTCTATGTAATTATACAGGTGACAGAAATCGAAAGCAAGTGGCTTTTGGAGGTAGCACCTCATTATTACAAACCAAAAGAACTAGAAGATTCTACGAATAAAAAAATGCCGAAAGTTGCAGGACGATCGCACCCAGACGGAACCTACTAATGGTCCTAATAATTAAATAACCATGAATCTTTTTATTTGTATAAAAAACTGTACAAACAGCTCCGACTTTTGAATGCAATTTTTTATAATATAGAAAGTAACAAGCCTAGCCACAATGTACTATACAAGCGTTTGTAACTAATAAATCGTACTATTTATGTTACTCTATTGTAAATGCATTTTATTTTAATAAAAATTTACACTAAATATAAATCGTCCCTTCCATTTTAATATTCCACACCCCAAGGTAAGTAAATAGAAATTAGTGGACAATATTATAACATACAAATTGCAATTCGAGAATCGTTTATAAAGGTAATTAAAGAAAATAGCAAGAATGCAGAAAGGAAGGTAAGTAAGGAAAACAAGGTAAGAAAATTTAGCCATTTCCTTACACATCATATCTCCCTGATACACATCTCCAATTTTGGAACAAAAATCTTTGCCCGAAACCTTACTTATCTTTCCTATTCTATTTGTTTCAGAGATTCCTAGAATTGCAGAAATTTTGTACTTATGTTTTTAAACTTTTCACTTATTCACTGCATACTTATCTTAGAGGATAAGATGTGAAATAATGGCACAAGATTATTATGTTTTACAATTTATTTAAATTTATCTATAAATTCATTTATATTACAAAGCACAGAACAAATACTATTTTTGTAACATGAATGCTTTTGCATTCCTATTTTCATGGACTATGAATCATTCTTCGCGTGCAGGGTGTTCGACTACAGGTGTAAGAAAATTTAAGGATTGATTCGTAAAGCTAAAATAAGAATTTTCTGAAATAAGTTTCCTCAAAGTGTTTCCAGCTTTTTTCATTTGGTATCATTTTTATTATTCATTTGTCGTAAGTTAGAGCTTCCTCAAAATAAACGAATCGATTTCGTACAAACGATGTTGTGCTTGTGTACAATAAATGATAAAAGACTCGAGTTCTAAGTAAAGCGGTTATCCGAAGAAATTCATAAAAATGTAACTTCGCAAATGGCACTGTAACACACGATAGACATTACGATAATGATACGGTGCGTGCATATCAAGGTAGGCGAATGTGGACAATATCTTTCTTGTGAAAAGAAAGCTTTCTATAGGTACCATTCTGTAAAGATATAGCTAATCCTATAGTGGCCAGTGTTTTATGAAATTTCTCTGAGATCTTTATCTACGCGATTGTATAGAATTTTTTTTATTTAAAAATCGAAGAGTAAATAAACAGCCAATTGCGTTTTGGTTGGAATTGTTTTTGTTAAACGACGAAATAGTAACCAACAAATGTAATTTCGGTTTAGGAAGACGTGTAGTTTGCCATTGATTCTTAATCACACACTCGTGTACAGCATCAAAGGATTCGCAATTGTTTCTTGTAACTTTCTAAATACGATTTTCTTTTCTCTAACATGTAGTGTAGCATATAAAACAAGACTTACGGTTAACAATAGGATATTATTAAACATACACATTGGAGTACACTTTGCAAAAATACGTACAGTATTCAAAATATATTGCCCATTATGATATCTAGCAAATAAAACAATCGTTTACCTGGCTTATCGTTTTCCATTTATTTAATCACACTCGTGAAAATATGAATTTGCATAAATATTAATTACACAATTAGTCAATGTTTCCAATCTCCGTGTTGTTCAAGGGTCTACTGTAATAATGACACGATCAATGAAGATTATTCTTAATAATAATAATAATAATAATAGGCTTATCTTTCTTTTTCAAACTCCTGTAGAAATTCCTTCCGAGTGGAAAATGAGTATTCTGCAGCCAGCTTTTAATATATTAATCGTCTGTGGATGCTGGATACCACCGTCTTGTCGGACATTCTACGGAAAGTTGTTGTACGCTGCATACACGGCGTTCGTGATTTTTCTATTGTGCAGTTTCTGCATCTCGCAATTTCTGAACGTGATACTGAACGTAAGAACGGCGGAAGAGTTAAGCGACAGCTTCTACATGTTCATCGCGTCCATTCTTTCCTGTTGCAAGATCTTTACGCTTCTGGTCAACCATAAAGCGATTAGAATCCTCAGCAGGAAGCTCGACGAGGAGCCTTGTAAACCAATAGATGAGCAGGAGATTACGATCCGAAGAAGATTCGACAAAAGCATCGGGTATATGATTATTTTCATTATTATATAGTTTTTTCAATTATTATTTTCAATTATTTAACACTAATCTTATTATTTAACTCAAATGACCGGTTTCAAAATTTAATTTAAAATTCAATGTTTGTTAATATAAGAATTTATCTCAGCGTGTCTTATCTCTCCTCGAGGAGATTCTTCCTCGAAGAAGAAATTTCTTGGCTGTCTGTATAATCTACGCTCGCTCGCTAACAAACAATTCAGAAATGGGCATAGCGGCAAACTTCGAATTTTATGATATTTTCTAATACGAATATTGTATGCGGTATTTTTCGGACGCCGAAATTATCGATATTATGTAATTCGCGTTATCTTTATTCGAAAACAGTGAGAAGATGGCTAATTTAAAAAGAAAGAAAAGATTCTTCTAAATGAATATTTCCATTTCAAAAAACTGAAGCATGTATAAACAATATACTACAAATTACGTATCGTCAAAATTTCCAAGAAATCGTAAGAATGTCGATCTACACTGTAAATACCTTAAAAAGAACCAGGAATCTCATTAGTAGGCTATTTGGAGATAATGTGGATTGTTAAAGGCTAAAATAAATTGTTCTAACATTTCCTCCGCCATATTTCCTGGAAATGGTGTATGTACATTCTTTCTGGCTGAAAAAAGATCATATTTCATTGCTTTTCATTTAATCACGTGATAGCTGTATCTTCTACCATTTCGATTTTTCAATTATAGAAATCGAAGATAACTGAATTTGACCAGATATAGCTTCTTAAAGAGAACTACAAAACCCTTCAGCAGGCCTTCTAGAAGTAAACTAAATCGTTTTTTGTTTTTTATTATTTTTTCTTTATTAGAACAAGCGCACAAGCGCCTTTTAATCGCTCTCGATTTTCAATCAGGTATCAGCATAGGTAAATCGATTGACAAACCTTTATAGACGCTTTACAGGTCGATCACGATCTACTACACGATTATGGTGATGCTTACGGTTGCCTGTATGATATTATTTTCGTTCCTCACTGACTTCGGCGACCGGAAGCTCGCGTACAAAGCCTGGCTGCCTTTCAACTATTCTGTGTCCAATTGCTATTACATCGCGTACGCTCATCAGATCATCGCACTGATTGGCACGGCGCTTCTAAACGTGGCCTGTGATGTGCTGGTTTGCGGGTTGCTCGTTCACGTCTGCGGCCAGCAAGAAATCCTGAAGCATAGAGTAATGGAACTGAAGAAAGAACCGAGACCTGACATTGGAAAAATCGTGCGTTTTCACGATTATTTATACGGGTCAGTGTTATCCGTTAGAATAAATAAATAGAATTATTTCAGCATCCAGTAACTAACGTAATACATAATAACATAAAATATTATAAATACGAATTGCTTTCTTCATGTAACTTGAGAATATACGTACAAAGAAAAATATACACTGCCATTTAATGCATACAAGCTGACTTTAGCTTCTTATGGAGAAAAGATAAAAGATAAAAAATGATATACATTCATATCGAGCATTAAACCTGTAATTTAATTTTAATGAAGAGAGTATTACAGAGAGTATTTTAATTGTTCTACATTCTACATTCATATCATACATCAATATCATACGATATTCAGTTTAAGTATACATTTACTATAAAATTTATGCGCGGTATATATTAAAATTTGTTAAATCATAAGGCATTTTTCTCGTATTTAACCAACATCGTACAAGTGTATTTTTATTTCTTCATAAAATCCTCTTCAAACAAATCTTACATTCGCGTTATGTTTAAGCGCAGATACGTTTCGATAATACAGCAGAAGTTTCAAGAAATAATAGGTGTTCAACTTCTATCGAGCACCTTCGTGGTGTGTTTTATCCTGTACGAATTGTCGAACGCGCCAGTGAACTCCAAATATTTGCAATTCGTCTTATACCTGACCTGCATGATGACACAGGTCTTCTTCTACTGTTGGTATGGAAATCAGCTCAAATTAAAGGTAAATTTTACTGAACCGAGTTATCTGATAAAATTAAAGCTACTCGATTATGGATTGTAATTCGACGATATGCGAAACAATAGAGTGTCGAGGTTGCGAATGCAATCTTTGAGGCGGATTGGATATCGTTTGATAATAGCAGCAAGAAGAGTTTGATAAACGTAATGAGAAGAGCCACGAAACCGATCGAATTGACCTGTGCCTACATATTTACGATGGACTTGAAAACTTTCGTGGACGTTAGTACATAGAATAAAATATATATAGTCATGAAAGTATTTGGATATCTACTAATAGGAACCTGTTATGAACATATTGCGTATGTTACAAAAAACATTTTGAAATTGAAGAGATGAGTTATGACTAGTCGTAATCATTAAATTGCAGATTTTTATACATTTATGCGTATAAGTGCACAGAATGCACATAATTTGTGAAAGTATGCAAAATGTTCAAAGTATAATACTCTTTACATATAATATACATCTAGCAAGTAAAATAGTGTTCTATCTATGTTCCACTTATTTAACAATGTTTCTAAAAATATGAATTTACATAAATGTTCATAGAATTTCAAACAAAAATTCCATAAAGTTTTCTATATACATATGTATACATACATAGCACGTATAATATGTTTATAAAATTTCTATACTAATTGTAAATGTCCAAATACATTTGTGAATCGATATAGACATGTGTCTCACAAAGCAAGGATTTCACTGATTTATTAATACGTTTATGTCTCTTACAGATACTGAAAATGTCGTACTCGACGTACAATTTGCTCCAAAGGACGAAAGAATCTTAAAATACGAGGATTCTCGTAAAAATTAAAACTGATCGTCACAAGCAAACAAACGCGTCGAACTTTTGGAATTCGAAGCTTTTTGAATGTCGAAATTAAAAATTTGGAATTTCTGCGGTCAAACAATATTCCACACCTTTCCGCAGGAGACGATCGATGCTAATTTTTACGTGTTACCTTCAAGAAACGCTAATACAATGAAATCTTTCCAACGATATGTAAATCATGCAATTGCCACGCTAAAGATACTAAAATTCAACTTACCTTTATACGAAGCCTGCTTCATATTCTCTCGTCCTCTTTTCCATCCAAAATGAAATTTCTATCGATACTCGTGAACGTTTTTTTCGAAATAAAAGAAATGTCTATGTTCTATTCCATTCTATGTCCATGGCATCTGGTCAATTTCTCTGCTTGCCAGTCGTTAAATATTTAAACTTGTTGTCTTATGCATAAGACGATATAAATTCAAAAGACTCGAAAATAAATAGTTGCGAGGAATTTTAAATTCCTTCTGGACGTTTTCCATGCATCTACCTGGAATTACAATAATAATATAGTCCATGCACCAGAAAGGGGGAAGTTTTATGAACGATAATCTTCGTGCGATACGTATCGATATTCCGTGTCTATACATTGTCGCACGCTATTAAATATATTATACGACAACGCATTTCGTCGACATTCGTATCTTTCTTCTCTTATATCTCCAGTTTGTCAGCATACCGTACCAAATAATATCAAGGGTCTTCGGCTATTGTAAGCAAAAGCTCTTTCAAGCAAGTGTTAAGAAGAAAAATTCGTATCGATCGGATACTTTGTTATTATTTTCAGAAGCTAATCTCTACATCTATTAAAACATCCATTAAAATTTACTATTATTTCCAAATAATCGTTATTTTCACAGGAAACTTTACTTTTCAAAAAATCATCGGACGATGATTAGAAACGTCAGAGACGAAGAAGAGAAATATATTAGTGCAGAAATTTAAAAATACAGAAATATCTATAGGAACGAGCAATCGGTGCAGAAATTTAAAAAACTGAGCGATGCATCTGTTACGATTGACATATCGTTTTTTGACAATATGCGCCTGTTGGCGACCGCCGTTGCTATCGCCATTAAAAAATGTTGCATACACCGTCTACCGTTATTACGTGATACTGTTGGTGTATGGTGGCTCAATTTGTCAATTCATCGATCTAATATTCATCGTGGAGACCTTAGATGAGTTCTGCGACAATATTTACCTAACTCTGACATTTTTCATTTCGTGTCTCAAGATGTACAGTATATTGTCCAATCGTAAGAATATCATCGTCATAACGGATATGCTAGAGAGCACACCTTTTCAACCAGAAACGAAGGAGGAGATCGAGATTCGAGAAAAGTGTGAAAGACGAGCCAGGTAAATATTTTACGTAATATAATTTTGGTATTGAGAGCAAAAGTGTACCAAACATTTCTTTCTTTTCTGCGAACGTGACTTTACAGTTTTCATAGATTCCAATGAACGTTATTAAATCATACAAAAGAGGAAGAATTAATTTTTTCAAATCAAAGAATACATTACGTTACAATGAATACAAATACGTGTGTTTTAGACAGAGAATTATTAATTTTGTTGCGTTTCGAACTTAGTCCGCTTTGCTCTCGACGACCCAATTATTTTCAATATGTTTACTCTTAGTTCCTACGATATAATTTTCTACATCATTCTCGTATATATAATTATCAATAAAGATAGATATATTCCACATGACATTACCTATCACCTTACGAATCGCCACAGATCGAACGCGTTTTATTACGCACTTCTAGTTGAATCGTCAGTGGTGGTAATGTCGGTGTTAACATTGCTCGGTGCATTGTACAAAGGCGAACGTCACAAGCTAGCGTTTCGAATGTGGTTACCTTGGAACAATACTTCGACAGCCACCTATAGCTTCATCTACAGTCAACAAATTTTAATTCACGCCTTCAATGGTCTGCTGCACGTTGCCTGCGACAGCCTCATATGGACGTTGTTGATGTTCATCTGCAATCAGATCGAAATTTTCGGATATCGCTTGAAAAAGATCGAACAAGGCACGAATGATTGCAAACTGTGCATTCGTTATCATAATCTCATCTATCGGTACGGTATACCCCGTATTTCAGCGTTTCATTTTCTTCTACTCCCTTAACTGAAGATAGAATATCGCAGTTTACAACGTACAATTCATATAAGACAATTTCTTTAAGTTTCGATATACAATTATCACAGCTTATTATCATCCTACGTATAATCAACTTTTTTACGTTAAAAATCTCCATTTATAGAATTTACGTCATTTATCATATCAACTTTTGTATTCAATATTTAGCGAGTAAGCTAGAAACTCGTTGCACAGTTAAGGGATTACCGATATCGAGGAATAATATTCATATTCGATAATATATAAAATAATATCATATATTTCGTAATTCGTTCGTCGACGAAACAATTGCAGATTCGCCACCATGATAAACGAAGAGTTTAAACTGATGATTTTCGTTCAGTTCGCAGTGAGCACGCTGACGATATGCATGAATCTTTACATCTTAACGGGAACGAACATCTCGCTCGAGATGATTGTGAAAATAATTATGTTCAGCAGCTGTATGTTAACACAGATATACATTCTATGTTGGTATGGGAATGAAGTTGAGCTGAAGGTATTTCCCTTAACGATAACGCAATTATCGTTTGGTTTAATCTTCTTTTGTTAAATCTTTCCAGTAACGTTGTCTGTTCTTCATTTAGAGCCTCGAAATTTCTAATATGATTTTTGAAATCGACTGGCTAGCGCTCAAGGAAACCACTAAACGGGACTTGTTAATGATCATGATGCGTGCGAGATCTCCCATACAAATGACTAGTGTTTACGTGGTGACGATGAATCTCAAGTCGTTCGTGATCGTTAGTATGGAAAGAATCGACCTTTTTTTTTTCTTTTTGACTGACTGACGCTTCCTTATTGTCTAATAATCGCTAAAAAATCAGATAAGTCTATCGCAGAGTTTTCTGAACTGAACTAAACGAAACTAAAAACTTTTTCATCTTATTGGATATTTTTTCCAGATGAAGTCTCATAAAGAAGTAAAAATGAATTAAATACGAAAGTTTCAATTCTCCCTGTAAAATAAGAATCCGCAAGAACCAATATACGTAATATGTTCCTTTTCCAATAAAAGTAGACATTGATATTACCAATAATATACTTCATATTTCCAATAATTGCAGAAATGAGAAATTCGATACCAGACGTTCCGACTGGATTGATAGTTTTATTATCAACGTATAATCTGTGTTTCATACCATCATACGAAATTCTCTTTGTCGCAGTTGTTGAAAACTTCTTATTCGGCGTACAATCTGCTGCAAGGTATGTAGCAGAGATTAGCGAGCCAAGCAGCAGCTTCTCGAGAGACGAATAAAGGCACGACCCTTTCATGGACACACGCAATGGAGGAATGTAGAGTATGCGAAAGGAATAAACGAAACAATAAATAATATACAGAAGCGTTACGTTTATAACGGAACTCATTCCTCTTTTACCATTAATTTCTCTTCTCTTCTCTCGAAGAAGCCTGGACACCTTTTAAATATTTATCTATGGAAAACGACCATCGCGTTCCATTCTGCACGCTGATCATTTATATTTCAAGCAAACCGCCGTCAATATCGCCATCGACATTAACAACGTGTATCGTGAATTCACGTTGAAAGAAGAAAGGGGAAACAGCAAGACATAAAATTATCGGTATCTTGTTTTGTAACTGTTGCAAAAGTAATTGCGCGACTGCGTACTTTGTAACGGAAGATAGTGGTTTCCAAGGTAAAATCTAAAGGTACAGTTCTGACAATTAACTGGTTCATTTGAGCGAACTCGATCTAGTATTTAGGTACTGTGTTATTGGTAATATCTTTCGGTAAAGAATTAATCGGTCGGAATATACTTTGTGGATATTTATTTAAATTCATATTGTTATGAAAACAACTGAAGGAATGGGACCTATAGATATTTGTTTCGTATATTTTTGCATACTGTGTGTATTGCGTGTATTTTGTCATGTTTAAATTTCCCACAAATGTGTGAAAATTTGCAATCTATTAATTATTAGTTCGCTTCTACGAACGCGTGCAATATTGCCTTCAATTATTATTTTTTATTATTAGAATTATTTTACATTTGTAAACATATCGAGGATTATAAGAAACGAAGTTTAGAAAAATTCGAAATGCACACTTTACGTTGGACATTCGCGCTTCTTACTCTGACCGGTCTTATACGACCGTCCACGTGGAAATATTTATGGAAAAGAGTTTTGTACGATGTTTACACGATCGTCGTGTTGCTGTTGCTCTTCAGTTTCGAAACTTCGCTGATTCTGGATCTTGTCATCAATGTGGATAATCAAGATGATTTTAGTGAAAATTTGTACGTAACGCTGGTACTGTTCTCCAGCTGTTGCAAGGCTCTTGTGCTACTAATTTATCGAGGAAATATTGAAATTTTAATGGGCGTTCTGCTAGAGAAACCTTTCGTACCTGTGAACGACGAAGAGATTGAAATTCGAACGAAATTCGAGGAACGAATCGAGTAAGTTGGTATTGTAGTTACAGTACGATAAAGATTGAAATAGCAGTCGAGCCTCGATTAATGAAAGATTTGAGAATGATCCCTTGTCGGAAAAGTCGAGAAACGAGAATAGTAATTGAGAGAAATTATTACATTTTTATTTAAAAACTTTTGTTTTCGTTTAATATCGATATTTATGAAACAGTTTAAAAGCGTTTGCTTCTATTTAATATTTATAAAACAGCTCAAGCGTAAATGCTTTTTTATTCAAGAGAAAATAAATTTAAAAACAAAGAAATTCGAATAGCATGCCATGATTAAAATGCAGATAATCGAGGTTTCGCTGTATTTGTAAAACGACAATGGTAGAATTAATTGTATTACATTTATAGATGGAACTCCAAAGCTTACTCGTTTGTACTTCACTTCTTCGTGGCCTGGCTATGGATAGGCGCATTTCTTACAGACTTCAGACATGGAAGACTGAAATTTCGAGCCTGGATACCTTATGACTACAATTCACCGCTTCTCTTTCTTTTTAGCTTTATTCATCAGATCCTGGCCACGATATTCAGCACGAATTTGAACATCGTTTGCGATTGTTTGTTCAGCGGTATACTGATTCACATTTATTGCCAATTCGAGATCCTTGAACACCGTATGAAAAACATTACTACGGACAAAGATTACTCGGCGAAATTCTGTGCACATCATCATCACCGCATATACAAGTTTGTTTTAATATTATATTACTATATAAATAAATATAAGCAAATTTCTCAATCTTCGTTCATTAGAACCGTTCTCTTCTTCGCAAAGTTTCTCAATTACCTAGATATTAGGCAATTAATTTTGAGAATCCTCTCGAAAGCAAAATCTTTTAATAGATTCCTTTAAATAAAAAATACTTCATGTATCTCTACGTGTATTTTTCATAAATGAGCAGACTTTCGCAATACATGGTTATGTATCTGGGGAAATAAATTACAGATTCGCATCGATGGTGAACGATAACTTCAAAATGATCATGTCGATGCAATTTTTGATAAGCACCGGAGCCGTGTGTTTCAATCTTTATCGATTGTCGGTAATGGAATTTGGCCCGAAATTTATGGAAACAGCGACCTACACGTTGTGTCTGCTCATGCAGGTATTCTACTACTGTTGGTACGGCAACGAAGTCAAGCTGAAGGTACGTACGTTTTACTTGTGATCTAATGGTCTTGCTAGAGGCCGAATTGCGAGATTTTACAATTTCAAATATTTCCGTTTTATAGAGTCTGGAAATTCCTAACGCTGTGTTGGAAAGTAATCTACCATTTTTAAACGACAGCTCGAAGAAGATTCTTTTACTGATCATGAGACGCTCGTTAGAACCTATCGAATTCACTAGTTGCCATGTCATCTCCATGAACCTCGAATCTTTCGCTATAGTCAGTATCAAAGAAACAAGTAACGCTTTAACCCTTTGACAGTGTAATAAAACGACGAAGAACTCAGAAAATGATTAATTTCAAAAATAATTATATTATATGTTTGCTATATATTAGAAAATAAGGATGATTCCAATCAAAAGAAATGATTGCAAGGTGATTTTATTATATTTTGCAATTTTTGCCACACTGTCCAATAATCTTTGAAATGAACGGACATTTTTACGTCTATTGTTCCGCTTTAGTGCGTACGTGTTTCTGCTTACGTGTAAATTTGTTGTAAACGTGTAAAGTTATTGTACTATCTCGTGACGTAAATGGAAGCCAACTCCGCAAGACAAGCAAAGATAAAGAATTCTAGCACTATATTTGACTTGCCTCGATCTGTTTTGGACTGTAATACTGTCAAGGGGTTTACGCGATTCTGTTACCATTAGAAAGAAATATTTTTACAGAAATAATTTCGCTACTATCTTAGTAATCGTCTCTCTATCGAATGTTTTGTTTGTGACAGTTGCTGAAGACTTCCTATTCAGCGTACAATTTGCTTCAACAAAGCAAACTAAACGACTAAGAACCGTCGTATTTTAATCCGAGTGTAATAAGAAACATGGACTACTCACATGCAGACTAATACAAATGTTCTTTTTTTTTTAAGACACACATCAATAAACCATTACGTTATTTCCCGTCCTGTGTTTTCTTTTGCTCGAAATAAAAGTCAAACCATTTTTTGGCTAATTAGAGCTCTGATAAAACTAGAAATGTCAACATTAGTTGAACAAACGTCGTATTTTCTAATGAGTAAAGGTAAATATAAAAATAGTATCTACATAATACAAATACAATATATGAAATATTTCACTGCCTATCAAACGTCTGACAATGACTTCAATTAGTTATTTCCAAGAGCCGTTGGCACGAAAATTTGTCGAAAATAACTGAGAAAGAAAATAGCCTAGCTTGACATTAATATTACGCTGATTCAAATAATCCTACCTCAATTTATATCCCCCTCTTTTCTCTGAATCTTCCAGTTTCCTATCCTACCAGCAACCATAATTAAAAGTTGTCTTCATTGTTCGATTCTTGAAAACTAACTGAACGCGCATAAGCTCGCGATAAAAGGTACGCAAGCGGGCAGTAATATAAATGCACGTTAGAAACAGTGAAAACGTCGTCATTAAAAATGTAATTACATAAGAATATACCTACACTACTCGGGAAGATGCCAAGTTCAAGGTAATCAATCAAATAGAATGTAACTCGTCGGTTAAATAACACACACTATGACGTTTAGTGCCACCACAGCATGTATATTTCAATCCAATAAAATAAACGGAAGCTAGAAATGCAGAATAGAAAGAAACAAACGGTCACTCTATAATAGTGATTATTAAAAATGTAACTTCTTACGTCGTCGCAGTGCGGTAACGTCGATAATGACGATAATTACATGGGGGTGAATTCCAAGAGGGAACTATCCCATTTAAGGCAGCGTAAACATTTCGTTTACCTACGGTTCTTAGTAGCATCTAATGCTTCGAACGATACACTTACTTCAAAGATAATCTTTATTTTCATATTCTCATGTTCGATACTACATTTGATTTGAAATAGCTTGTTCTTTTTGATGAATCAAAATATACCGTAAAAAAATGCTGCTAGTCATATTGCGAAGACTGATAGTATAAGACCTAACTGTTCGAAGGTACTTGATCGTTCGATCTTTCCTAATGCGAAGTTTAAATAAGACAAATCATACCGCAAATATTGAAAATGCACGTACTACGATGGACATTCAAACTTTTCATCGCCAGCGGATATTTTTTACCGCCTACGTTGAAGTCTCCGAGGAAACGCTTTCTCTACAATTTATATACGGTCTTCGTGACGTTGTACTTGTGGAGCTACTGCCTCACGCTAATCCTGGACATTTGCTTCAACGCGAGAACGCGGGACGACCTGCGTGACAATTTTAACATATCTGTCGCGATATTTATCACGAGTTACAAATATGTCAGCTTAGTCTTAGGGCGAAAAGCTATCATAAACATGTTGGATCTACTCAAGAAGAAGCCCTTTGTGCCAGAGAACAATGGGGAAGGAGAAATTCACGCGAGATACGACAATCTAATCGAGTAAGTTCTTTCTGTTCGTTGTAATATATATAATTGTAAGGAAATTATTATAATGTTATTTTTTCCTTTTTTTTTTTTTAGAAAAGTCGCGGTGGGTTATACGATCCAAGTCACATTTTGTGTGCTTTCTTTATTAGGAATGACATTGATGTGTGACTTTAAATTGAAAAAATTAATGTTTCGCGCTAATGTTCCCCGGTTGGTTTCCTTTCGACATCACCTCCTCGTGGCTTGCGTTTTCTATGACGTTTCTCTATCAGTTCCTGGGTTTAGTGATCATATGTATTGGTGTCTGTATTTTCGACACGTTATTCGTCGGCCTATTGCTTCATATATGTTGTCAACTTGAGATGCTGGTTTATCGCTTGCACAATATCGAAGGACATGAAATTCAATCGTTAAAACACTGCGTTTGGCACCATAATAAAATATTCAGGTTCGTTCCCTGTATGCTTCTATTTAAACAAATTAACGATCTGACGAAGTTAATTGAAGATTACGGGAGAAATCGAAATAAGTTGTATTTTTATTGATTTCTTATTTCACGGCAAAAAAGCTAAGGGTATTAATACTATTTTGATATTCTAACAAGTATATCTTAGAAATGAAGAAGGATGTTGAAAAATATACATATGTCGTGTCTCAAAAACCAATAAAAAGAAATTTTGATACCGCGGGATTAATTTACAACACTGGATTTTAACACGACTTAGCTATTACAAAGTGGCGAACGCGATTTGTTACTTTCCTTGCCAAAAACCTTCAGTTAAAGAAAACAATGAAGTAATACTTATCTCAATTATTTCAGGTTCGCCGATATGGTAAACAATTTTTTTAACAAATTAATGTTCGTGCAATTTGTGGAAAGCACAGTCTCGATGTGCTTTACCCTTTACGTACTAACAGACATAGAAGGCACTGCGCAATTAATAGGATGGTCTACGTACATGTTTGCCGGGATATTTCAAACATTTTACTTTTGTTGGTTCGGAAATGCAGCGAAAGTAAAGGTAGATAGATACACACGCAGATATAATACGAGCTGTCGGTTCTTCGCAAATCAATAATTTGTGGACTTTTTATCTCTGCAGAGCCTGGATAT